AAGTAAACAGCCTGACACATTTAATCACACTGAAAAGATGGACGAGTGTGACCTTTGATTTCTCCAGGGTAATTTACAGGGAAGGGCTGTGGTTTCTCTTTGCACTTAGCAACCCGGGAAAAACCAAAATGAAGAGTTATCAGATTCAAGCATACAAACTCAAGAGAATGGTCTCATCCTTTTCTCTCTGATTTGCTACTGTTGATAGTTACTTTTATGTATTATAGTCACATCTTGGAGCCTTTGTCATAGATCATATTGCAAATTTGGTATGAACATGCAGTGCCTAACAAGTGAATTAGCTTCTGTGAAAGACAGTCATTTTTCTTCCCTCAGGAAGACAGGAAAGCTTCACAGCTTGATTTCAGCCTATTTGTAGGCAGCAGTGCATGTCCAGGCTGCTTCATGTCTCCATGTCCCCTTTGGAGGACAAAGAGGGCTTTTTGTAATGAGGGTACAAACACAGCCTCAGCAGTAACAAGTGCAGGGTGGCTTTTGACCTTGTTCCTTTTCTTGCTGTCTGTGGCTACTCCCATATCTGGACTACCGCTGAAGCAGGTATACATTTGCCTCAGCAGTAAGCTTTCTTCACCTGGTTTTGACGTGCAGTGAGAGAGAGCCACCAGCTAAGATGGGCTGGGCCATGTCCCATCTCCTGTCTTGCAGGCTGGGACCATGGAGGAGACTGGTGTTATTAGGAAGAACCTTGGGATCAAAGCAGCAAACACCCCTGCTTAGCACTTGAGAACTTGTGCAAGTGGACTTGCTTCGCTGTAGGTGCAGTGAGGAGCACTGGTGGGGAAGAGGCACAGGTGATTTATTTGTGGATGAGCAGGGGAGGGTTTTTGCAGAGTTGAAGTAATCTATGAGGGAACTAATAAATATAGTGAAAAAAATGAACAAAGAAGAGAAATGTATTAGGGGATCACATACTGTAGACTCCCTGAAGTATTTTTTCCCCTGTTGCCATAGCTAACTATAAGCATTTTTCTCCTACCTCCTCTCCCTTTGAACAGAACAGATTGAATTATACTGACTAGTTTTTGCCATGGGGTGCAGATTGTCCATCAGTCTACACTCACAAGGCATGTGCAGGGCAGCACCCTCCACTTCCTGCCTGCCCACCCGCAGAGGGATGAGTTTCACCTGCTAATGCTTTACTTCTAGAGAGGATAAGCTGCTTCACCTGCCAGGCACAGAATCTCACTGCTGTGTTCTCTATTAAAGCACAAACCCTTTTCACGTGTAGGTTCCTAGAGACTGGTCACTTCATCTGTCCTTGAACCCAACTAACATGAACCCTTACAATGTGATGGTTTCAGTTTTGGTTTAGGAAATGTAAATAGCATTAACGGACCTAATGGTTAGCTCATGCAGGACTGTACAGTCTTACACAGCAGCTGCAGTGCTCCCCTGCACAGAGGGACCTTGCCCTGCCCTGAGCATGGGGCCAGCATAGCCTGGTGTTTTAGGGGCATCTGGTCCCTTCCAGCACCGTGCAGGGGACACTGGAGGCCATGCTCACACTGGGGCTGCAGTGACAGAAGAGTCCAGGATATCCATGGAGACAAGTCACAGCATAAGGATGCCATCCCAGGGCACAGCTACTGCCACAGGCAGCATCAAACAAATCCCACAGAGCTGCTGCAATCACACCTGCAGGCAACTCTGATATGGCTTTGTGCAATGCACAAGGCACCTGTGTATACAGGTGGCTGCAGCTTGTGCCTCTGGACTAGGCAGTTGCAAAATAAGGAAGCCAAAAGAAATCTAAAGAGCAAATTCCAGTTTTAAATTACATTTTAAGTCTCAAGGATACTACTCCAGTGAACTGGCACTCCAGTGAACTGGCAGAACAAACTGCCTTACTCTGCCAACTGAACAATATCACCCAGCATGGGTGTCAAACAAGGCAGAGATCCTGATCATAGTTTACAACCCTGGGACTGTTTTTTGCTGTAGAGAGGGGGGACAAACGAGTCATTACTTGCCTCATAGAAGCCTCATTGTTATTTGAGGTCAAATTTCTGCTGTGTTCATGTTTGAGTTTGAGATGGAGGCATTAGGAATGAATGCACCAGGGAGCCCTGAACGTAGGGCATGGATCAGAGAAGTGAGTTGTGAACTTTGAAGATGGAAGAAGGGCAAGTTCTGGAAGGAGCAATTGGGCAGCAGACTTGAAAGTTTGTGAGCTCTGAGAGAGATCCCACTCAGAGCAAGATTGCTGGTCACAGCCTACTGCAGTCCTGGAGAGCTCTAAGGGTCTCACTTAGGACTGCACGTTGTAGGGTCACAGGAGAGTTGGCTGTAGCCACAGTAATTTTCAATCCTGCCTGCAATTCCAGTTGTTTTTGCTATCAAGCTTGCAAAGAAAAGATACACTTGGGTTGTTATTCAGGTAAGAGAGGTAAGTTTCCAAGGCTGCTTGTTTAAAAGCAGGAGCTGATTAGACAGCATGAGTTTCTGGGAGCAGACAGTGTTTCTGATAAGCTCAAGAAGAGCTGAGCCCAGGTGCTGTTCATCAAGACTGAAGCCTGACAAGCATTTCTTACATTGCAGTGCATCCAGGGGCGGAGAGGAAGGGAGCACGCACCACCAGACCTTTTTTCAGACCATTCCAAAGAGCCATTTTTCTCTAGGCTTTAGTCAGAGCTGACTACCAAGGTTGTCCTAGCTTTGTTTGGAACCTCCTATGCTTTACCTGCTCTTACTTATGTTCCCTGTCCCCAAGACTTCTGTACAAAATAGTACTTAGAAGTTGTCATAGCTGTTCCCATCCCATCCTCGTCAGTTCAATTTTCTGGATATTTGGCCCTCCTTTGGGCAGTGACTTGTGCAATATTGTGGAATGGAGATGGCTGTTTCTCTGCAATGGAACTAGACTCTATCTTATAGCCAACTTAAGACCAGCAGTAACATCCATCCACTTTCACTGCATTTCACCAAGCTGTGGAAAGATGACTGGGGGTAATATCAGAGGAAACTGAGGGGTTATATTCACAGCCTAATAGAGGTTATAACAGTACAGAAAATATAGAGTAAAACACAGTTGTTGCACCTGCTATGGGGGAGGGAGCAGAGGATGGAGTAGAGACACCTCATTTGGGCTCTGTTGAAATCCTTGCAGGGAGGGGAGCTTGATAGCACTTTGCAGCTGAGAAACTGCATAAAACCTGTCAGCTGAGGGAGACAGAAGATGTCCTGCTGCTGAGCCAACAGCTGTGGTGAAATCATTCTCTTTGGATGAACTTGGTTCATTATAGCCTGATAGTAACATTAACACACACCTCCACCCCAGTTACCCGCCCCCAAGGTACAACCACCTCTCATTGGGCATGTGCTCTATATTTTTGACTGTATGTTTAAAAATAAAGTGTGAGAATTTTACACCAATCAGTAACAAAGGTGTTGTATGGCTGCAGTCACCAAAGCTCCACCTAAATGTAGAGAAGTAGTATAAAAGTAAGTGGAGAATGAGGGAGAAGTTAAGGAAGACTCCATCATAACTATCAGTTGATAGGCTGAACCTGTCTTCTCCCCTGTAGAGACATTTATTGGGTAAGAATCGAACTCTGTGCATGCTGAATATTTTATTGGGGATTAGAGCTTGCCTGTGCATGGCTTTGAATACGTTTTTGTAGTCAGATACTATCACCAGCACTCATCAAACTTTAGCCTGTCACAGTTTTATATTAATAAGGTGTTATTCCATAAACTGTGAGAGTCTTTTGCAAGCACTGGAAGTCACCAGCAGTGGGTATTTACTCAAATAAAGAGAAAGACCCACTGGGTGGTCTCCTTTATGCTGTTGGTGTGTGTGTCCCTGGCTAAGTCAGTGGAACCACCCTACAATCCAGCAGGACTGCTCAGTGAAGGGTCCCCATAACAGGGCTCTGACAGACTGGTCAGGCACAAAGATCTTGGCTTCCCCGGGGTGTTGACAGACAAATAAACACTAAGGGTTGAGGAAATCTCCCCTTTTCATGTGACACAATCTCATGACACCACCTGCTTTTTCTGGAGCCTGAATTTTTGATCTTTGTTTATGCCATCACCCCAGAACTCTGTGGTTTTGTGTCTTTTTATGTTGCTTGCTGGCGCTATTGGGCTGACAAAGGCTGTATATCCAGGAATCTTGTACTTGCCACAGAGAGAAGCTGATACAAATTAACCTTGCCAGAAAAAAATAATTAATTTGTTCCTACCATGCAATTCACTTTGTATTGATGTCAGATACATAGTTTAGTACATCAGTGTTTGGGACTGGAGAGACATGTTTGGGAATGAATGGCTGAAATGTGATCAGTTATTTCATCATTCTTGGCTTATGTTGCCTTTTATAAATGGAAATATGGCCTGACAGGGTCTGATGTCAAGATACAGGACTACTAGTAGAATGGAGGTGCAGTCTGTATTTACTTGGGGCACCAGTTGGAATAAAAGTAACCTCTGTAGCTTCTGATCTCATATTTGGTTGCTGTGGTGTGTAGTAAATCACCCATGCTGCTTCAGCTTTCATGCCCATCCTCCGTGGACATTCTTTGTTACTCATGCATGTTTCCACTCAGTTGGTGAGTGGAGGAGCAGCATACTAGAAGCTTTAGGTCTTTAGGTTAGTTTCTGATGGTGCGTCTACACAAGCATCCATGCCCTACGTTCAGGGCTCCCTGGTGCATTCATTCCTAATGCCTGCATCTCAAACTCAAACACAAACACATTGGGAATTGGACCTCGCAAAATGGTGAGGCTTCTATGAGCCAAGTGATGACTCACTCGTCTTCCCCTCTCTGCAGTAAAACAGTAAACTATGATCAGGATCTCTGCCTTATTTGACACCCATGTTGGGTGATACTTAACTAGTGAGTTCATTTGGTTTGTGCCTTGCTTTCTTAGTCCATAAAATGAGAGTAGTGAGACCATTACTGTCCCCACCTCCCCTCCCCATCCAGGATGAAGTGAAAGGCTGCATCTGTGCGTTATCAACAAAGCCCTAATTTACATGTAAATGCATGTGATATCGCTGTAGCAGCAGAGTTGTAGCAGTGAAGCCCTCCTTGTGTGCAGGCAGCTTATGTCAGCAGAATGAGGCTCTTTTTTGAGCAGAACTTTACTGAGCACCATCAGCTATATCAGCAAAAACACTGAATACCAATATAACTACATCCTCGTTAGGACCTCAGGGCCCATAGTATTTTAATGTCTAACTACTTTCTAGGTGCTTAAATATTTTTGAGGATCTGGACCTATTTATTGAGACTATGGAATTTACCCTCTTTCCATCCCTGACAAACAGGTTCAGAGCAGATGTGGTTTCACTTTATCAGTGGCTGCAGAGTGCTCTGTGAAACTCTGGTAAAGAGCCCAGAGCTCAGCAGAGCATGATCAAACTGCTATGGCTGACTTCAAGGGCAACATAACTGCTGTTGCTGCTTCTGACTGTGCTCTTAATACTGCAGGAGACTGGACAGGTTCTTCCTTATTCACCTTTTCCTGGGAGAACAACAGAACTAAAAGCAGTGTTCCCTTGAAAATGATGTTGCTAATAGTTTTCATTTCATCCTTTCATTCATTTCAATAGCATCCATACTGATGCTATTACAAAGGTGGCACATGAGAAGACAGCATATTGCAGAGAAGAAAGACAGTGAGGACAAGGCTCTAGTACCTGAGCAGTGATCAGACCTTAGCTTGGAGAGCAAGGAAGGAGCAATTTGCCACCTTTCCAGTACCAAGCGCAGTTTTGCAGGTTCTTATTTCTTCCCTCTCTTCAGAAAAAAATTAGTGAAGGAAGAAGATGGACAAGTTGGCAAAAGACATGGCTAAAGGAGCTTTTTTTTTTTTAATGTTCAACTTTCTACTTGCAGACAGAGTCAATTCAAGTCATCCAATAGAAAATTATCCCATGGAAAATTTTCTTTCAGCTTGTGAACTGAACTGAATTGGTAGCTGGAGGAAGGTAGCCATAGATTAGATGTAAGGGGAAACTACCCCATCTGTGCAGCAAACTGCTTTTAAATTACAAAATCTAATATTAGGGGTGATGGGAGCACAGAAAGGACCTGAAGTTCAGTTCAGAGAAAAAGGTCAATACAGGAAAACAGAAGGCTGCTGTCTCTCCTTTTGGCAAGCATATTATTATAGATAAGAGAGAGAGAGACTTTGCCATAGAGTGAAATGGGGCAAAGGAGAAATTTAACAGAGCCCTTAACTACCCATAACTAGGTAGTTAAAAACTTGCCCTTCAAAGTCAAAGGAAGTAAAAGACATACTTAACTTGAGGAAATGAAAAATGTTAGAGGCTGTGCACTACCAAGAGGGAAAACCTACCAGGACCAGGGATTGCTACTTGGCCTTGGATCAGAGAGACAGTGTGATGCTGCAGGCAGGACTGAACACTCATGTCTTTCCCACTCACACTGCTCACAGTGTGTGTTGCTCAGCAGCAGCCAGACAGGGCTACAAAGCTCTGTGCTTGAGTCTCGACTGCAGGGGAGACATGTCTGTGTCCAACAAGTGTGAGAGGAAACCATGGGAAATGTTTCATAGGTATAAATTCATAGGAAATTTATAAATATTCATAGGCAAATCACATCTCCAGTGAAAATGCTGGCCTGCGTGGTTGCTGTATCGGGCATGGCCATAAGAGGGAAGTGTGTGCTCAGGCATTAGGTGCTTTCTCAGGGCTGGAGCAGCCCCAGCTGTGTTGGCTGTGGGCTCTGCAAGCACCATGGATCTGCCTGGGTCATACCTCCTTTGCAGGGCTAAAAGCAGGGCCAGTGCCTTTGGAGGTGTGTGAGCTCAGCCACAGCCAAGTGTGCAGGTAGCGATGATGGGGATGGGGTGAGAGGGGAGCAAGGGTGGGAAAGTGAATTGTCACTTCCTGGAGATAGGGGAGGATGAGATGTGCAACCGTGAGCAGTCCTGAGAGAACTGGAGATATCTTGTCCAGAGATGATGGGCAGTCAGGTGGGGAAATCTCATTTCAGTTTTCTCCTCACACATACACAGATGTCTGGTTGTATTAGCTGGATCATACTCAGATTAGGGCATTCAGGCTTGAGGTTGGTGACACTGAGGTGCTTTTAGGAAGCGTAGGGGACCTCAGGAGAAAGAAAGCTGAAGTCAGCAAGCTTGAAAGATTTACAAAGAAGAATAAAGGTCCAAAAGGATATGGGCAGGCAACCCTGCTAGCTCTCCAAGGGAGACATTTTGCCTGAAGCACTTCTAATAGCATTTTGTTGGCAACATAATAGAGCACACAAGCTGTGTAGCAGTAACAAATGGGTCTTGGTTGTTAGCAGCCCTGTCAGACTCAGGTGACTGCTACCCTCAGTCATGGGCCATTCCTGACTGCATGCCTTTGATACATCCTTGTTAAAACTCACCACTGCACAAGGCAGAAAATGACACTTCGGCCATGTAATATGGGAACTTGAGGCTTCACCAAGTCTGTGCCTGTGACTCCCATGGACCCTGCCAGCTGGAGCTGCTGGAGATCCTGCAGGGACCCACAGGGTGCTTTGAGGAGAAACTACTATGATTGATTTCCTGTAGTTACTGGCCAAGAAATGTGAGCAGCAAGGTCCACTCAGGAGCACCAAATGACCAGATCACCAGCTTCCCATAAGCTGGCTCTGCAGAGAGGCATTCAGGCTTCTCCTTACAGATCTGCTTCTCTGGGATTTTTTTTTTTCCTGAAGCAGAAGCAGAGGAAAATGAATGGGACAGAGCGGAATTTATTATTTGTTCATGCCACAGCATGAAAACAAAATGTATCTAAGAATTAACTGCACAAGAGCTGTGTGGTGGCAAGGCTAGGGGAGACAAGGTGGGTGCATCTTTTAGTGCCTGGCTAAGCATGTGCTTATCTTGTGCTCCCACAGAGCTCCTGCACATCTTATGTCTTTGCAGTAGAGACATACAACAACCTATAGTTGTAGGAGCAGGTACAGTGTAGTTATCCACAGGCATAGGTGACATGAGGGGGAGAGAGCTGAAGGAGTGTGAATTGCTGTGTATGATCTATGGACAGCAGTGTTGCCCAGCAGGGATGTGTTGTGTAGCTGTGGGCTGCAGGCAGGGGGTTGCTGTGCTGGGAATGGCTACAAGTACCCACACGAGGTCACTTGGCAGTTAAATGAGGTGAAGAATTACCATGGTGACTGCACTCCTCTCCCAGACAGATGCCAGGCTTCCCAGCAATAATATTTGTGCATTGCTCTAGCACCCCCAAACTCTCTCTCCCTCTGTTCGGAAAGGGTGAGGACCATGCTGCCCCATCTCCAGACTGGGAGAATGGTAAACATTAGGATATGGAGTGGTTTCTGCATACGCCTTCTTTCAGCAGAAGGGGCCACTGTCTGGGCACCTCCTACACTGGTCCCTACTGCAGTAATAGGCAGAAGGGCTGTGGTTCGAATTACTGTGATACAGTGTGGTTCTTGCACTGTGTGTCTGCTTAGTGTCGCCAGGAGCATCGAGGTCTGAGCCAGCTGCCAGCCCTTAGGCATGTGAAGAGAAGGCTGTGTGTTGGAGGACATCACACCTGCACTGCAAGAGGTGCCCCAGGGAGCATCATAGTGAACAACTCCAATCCTGCTGCCACCAGGAGCTTGGAGCTCACCAGCAACAGGTACTGCAAGATTCCTGAGACAGAGTAAAAATTTAACAGGGTAGAAATCCATTTAGATTTAGGTGAAATGTGCCGCTTTGAGCTTGCTAACAGAAGTGAAATATGCTGTTTAGTCTGGTAACTGCAGCACTAGTAAAGTTGCCCCAGCTAAGGAGAAAGAATGCACATTTCCACACTAAAGAGATAAGAAAGACTCCTCGATCCTTGAAACAGACATTGCAGAGTGACCCAGGAGTCCTTTCTGTATTTTCTGACAAAAACTGAGAATGTAAGTGTAACACAAAATCAGCAGAATGAATATACATGAACCTATTGTGAAATTCAATACATACAGAAATTAGTTAAGGGTAATAAAAAAGATCAGGAGTTCTCAAGGGGTGCACATGTCCATTGAAGGGCAATGAGTCCCCACATGCGTCCAGTGCTGTAATAAAAGCATACCGTCCCTACAAATCTTTATTAGAACTGTAGAGTTTTGATTTTTCATCCATGTTTCACTCCAAGGACAGACAAAAGACAAATGTGCACCAGAACATAAGGCCTTTTAGCACCTAGTGTATTCACACTTGCTTTTAGTGCCCACATAGAACATGTTCCCTGCTCTTACTTAGTTGGATCAAATAATGTGCTATGCTGTCTTCCTGGCAAGGAAAGTACAGCTGCATCTTTCAGGTACCACAGTTACTAAGGTGTGTTCCTCAAAGACTTCTGTATTTCATCTTCAGAGACCTTAGTCCTTTCATCTTCAGAAGACTTATTTCTTTCATCAGTTCTCTAGTTCTAAGTGATCTGTGAGGCTATTATAAAGCATATTTCTCCTATGTTTTCAGTTAGAGGTTTGGGGAGATAGTTACTTTGTGGTCTATGAGGAAAACTTGAAGGAGAAAAGGCTTTAGTGGACTAAAAATGTTTGGAGATGCTTGGTTTAGGAAGCAACACTGATGCATCTTGCACAGCCCCATGTGAAAAAGCTGGAAAGAAGAAACAAAGGAGATGGTTATGCTGGTCCTGTAGGCTGAAGTACCACAAGAAACCAGCGAGGTGCTGTAGACCAGGAACTAAGTCATGCCGCTTTTGCTGCACTGGTATTTTGCAAAGATGCAAAACACAGCTCAAGGCAAAGGTCCAGAGCTCCTCCTCACTGATGTGCCCATTGCAGCATCTTCCCTTGAGTACTTATCTTTTCCCTGTAAGGGTTTTTGTTTAAATCACGGAAAAGCATTCTAGACAATGACAAACGGCTATTGTCATCTTGCAGAGGGCTGGCAAAAGAACAAATAGCTGCACTTCAGTGGAGGTTCAGCAATCTTTCCACACAGCACAGACTTGCTAATTTGCATGGTCATGAGGTCTCATTGGAAAGATATTTTTAAATGAAAAAGCAAGGAAATGATGCAAAATAGATTTGAGCATATTCCAGGAGATAGCTAAATTTTTCATAGTGAAACCCAATAATAGATCAGTCTGTATGTTATGAACCTCTCATCACAAAAATATATCACAGGAGGCTTCTGCTATCTATTCTGGGCTGAGCACTGACCTTGGCTATTAGATCTCAATTAAGCATGTTTATGACTAATGCTTCTTTCTCTTCCACTTTTCTGCTGCAGAAAATAATATTCATGGAATCAAAACACACAGTCTCTCTCCAGATAGGACCCATGGTTTCTCAGAAGGTTTCATGCACGTGGAAAAAAAAGGATTTCTAGCGTGAAATTCAGGGAAAGGAAGTATTAAACATATGTGCAACCAAAGATTGCAGCCTTCAGCACTGAGCCCCTCTGCTTTTCCAGAATGATGTGCAGTGATGCTTGCAGCTGCAGGTGGGGTTGAGTAGGCCACAAGGACAGAAATAGCATACCATATCTTCACTTCTTTATGCTTGCTCACCTGGCATATTTCTTTCCTTTAATTTCTTCATTATCATTTTGATCTAGGACAAGGGAATAAGTGCCAGTGAATTTGACAGTGGTAGTAATAAGGCAATGAAAGACTTGCTTGGGTGCTTAAGACTCCTAAGCAAGCCAGGACCTACCTGCAGACTTGTTCCACTTTCAGCTCAGGGAAATGCTGAACCATCAAAACAGCATACCAAACACAGACCTCTCCTGGAGCATAATTATACTGTTGGGCCAGAAAAGGCTTGGAGGCAATCATATACCTATACTCATATTTGAGTATAGGTATATGCCTGGGAAGATCATGGAGCAGATCCTCTTAGAAGGTATGCTAAGGTACGTGCTAGGCCAAAAGCAAAAGGGATGCCAATTTTTCATCTGCCTTGTGATGAAGATTTGATGGAACAATGTCATTGCAAAGAACAGAAGCTCTCCTACAAGGTGGAACAAAAGCCTTACTTTAAAAAGGCCTGAGGTGTGTTTTCAGCTTATGTGGACTGAAAAGAGGCTTACTTGTGTGCAGCATTCAGCAGGGTTTAGAATGGCTGCAGATTATTTGCATAGTGTTGCTAAAATCTTCCTGACCTGTCATAGACATCCAACAATCAGCAATTCTCCCAAGTCAGGTTTCATCATAGCAATGAGAACAAGCTGACAAACTCAAACCAGTCATCACAAGATTGGTGCAGTTCTCTGACAGCCTTTCCAGGTGCTGGTTATATATGACAAAAGGTCAGGCTAACATCTGACTCTAATCTTAGAGGAATGTTGTCTGAAAAGGGGGAAAAGACCAGTGAAAATGAAAAGGTACTGACTGGAGTGGCTGAAAGCTGTATCTCAGCCACTGGGACCAGGTAAGATGATGCCAAATAAATTCTCTCTGTTCTAGAAAAGATGGGACATGCTACTCAATACCTGGTAGTGAGGATGTGTTAGATTTTAGTCCTTGTCTCATATTCAGTGTCTGTTTTTTTCCATTTCTCTGCCTGCCCAGGCTGTGGTGAGCAGTGACACCTTGTCCTTGGAAGAAACTATTTCCAAACTTTTTTTTGTTACTGCTGAAAATGTCTTGATGCTTCACTCAGGTTTACTTTTTTTCAGCTCCATTTCATGATTCCTAGCTCTCATAATCTCAGAATTTGTCTAAGAAGTTATCCCATTATGAACCAGTGAGTCTTTCCAAAATTTAAATTCTGTCTGGAAACAAATCTAACTCCAAAGCTTTAGCATCAACCAACACCTCTGTCTGGACTGATTGTTTTCAACAAGAACAGTGCTTTGAAAGATGAGTCTCCTTTCCAGGCTCTGTGCTCTTTTTTGGCTACTCAATAATTTCCAAATCAATAGCTGTCTCTGATTGCCCCCCCCTTCCCTCTAGATCCTGCTCTTTGCTACCTCATTTTGGTTTTAATTTGCCACAGCAAAATTGCAGTCATTTTTCCCCCACCCTAATTAAGAAACCTATCCGTTAAGGAGAAAGAAAACAAAAACAAAATCTTCTTATCTAAGCCCTTAGCACAGAACAGAGGAGGAATGATTGGTGAGATGATCACCTCTAGAAAGCCAAGGCCTTTATTGATTCTTCTGGCCTTCCTCAGTAAATACAGAGTGAGTTTTTTAAATTCACCTATAAGGAAGCTAAAAGTTAATGTATAATACTGACTTCTCAACATCAGAGGAGAAAGAGACTGTCTGTCTTCTAGGCTGACCCACTCTTTATTCTCTATACATAGTTCAACAAGAGTATTTGGAGAGTGTTTCACTGTGCCTCAGAGATTCATAACATCATTTAGGTTGGAAAATACTCCTAAGATTATCAAGTCCAAGCATAAACCTAACATCTAAACCTTGGCTGTAGTGGACAGCCAAGTCCACCACTAAACCATGTCCCAAAACAGCGTTTCTACACATAAGTGTGAATACCACCTCACATTACCTCTATTTCAGTTTCCCCACATTTTGTTATAAACTGGCCTTGCTTCTGAACTTCCAGGGTCTAATGGTCCTGGACCTATACTTTGGAAGAGCTTTGACATCACAAAGCAGATTAAAAAAGCTGTATTGTGGGCAGGTGGCAGCAGCACTGAGCTCTTGAATTAAGGAAATAAGCATTGAGTGATGGTGAAGGAGAGCACAACCCCAGTGCTGAGATGCATGATTACATGGACAGAAAGGGTCAGGCTACACAGAGAAGCTGAGGGGAGAGTCCACTACACATGGGGACGTTGTGGAAGAGGACATTTAACAGCCCCACAGGAAAAGGTCAGAGACAGAATAATCTCTACTGACTTGGTAAAAAACAAGATGGGAAGTGTCTCCACAAGGTTAAAGCTTTCAATTCCTCATCCAGAAGAATAAACACCTCTATTCTGAAAAGAGGAAAAGCTACTACAGTCTTTTCCAGACTTTATTCCCTCTCTCCTTCACCCCTGATCCAGTGGAAGTGGTGCTTTCCATTATGCCTATCTGAATACAAGCCAGAGCTTCAAATAAAAATCAGGTCTGACTCCCTGCTGTAGTCCAGAGATTTATTTACCATCTTGGAGAGATAAGCATTTAGCTGATTAACTTCAGTCTCTGTGCACAGTCAGCTTCTTCTAAGGGGCGGGGTGGGGGTGGGGGGTGATATAATTGCAGGAACCAGATGGGGATTGTGCCTGCTGGACTAAAATTACTCTGATATTCCAGATTGTTTCTCTTCTCTCTGGGATGTCAAGAGCAGAATCCTTCAGAGAAGGACCTGCTCCAAAGTCCAGATCAGCTTGCATTAAGAGCATGAAAGTATTCTTGGGACTGGTTTCCTAAAGGAAGAAAGCATATGTTTTTATGGCTTGTGGATGTGTTAAACTCTGTGTGTCCTCCCATTCCTTTCCAGTAACTTTGAAACCTGTTCATCTATTTTAATTAGATTTGATAAATTTCACAACAAACAAAGTTCCTGCAGGTAGTAGGTAGCCAGTTAGAGGAGAGGGACCCTATAAATATCCTGAGTCAGGAAAATGGTGCACTGTGCATGTAATAAACTCTGGAGACATCACATAGGAAAATATCACATATAAGTACTCATCTGCATGAAAAGCTTCAGTGACAACTCAATTTTTC